ACACTATCATAAGCTTATTATCAAGGGCAGAAAAGCATGGAGATAGTGCAACTCACGGGAACCGTCCAGTGTAGGACAGGATGTGAAACACCGTGGAGGTACTGAAGAGCAGGACAAGAGCCCCGCCGTAGACAAGAGTGGTGGTCAGCTGCAGGCCATTGGCCGACGTCCATACCATGAAGCACAGCGCTAGAAAACTTGGCAAGATCCACACCTGGCACACAACGACAGAGTCAAAATTAGGGGTAAGGAAGGGTAATACATAATATGTCAATGGCTTGCATTGGCAATGCGGGAGACAAACAAGTAAATCCATGTGTAATCATCCCAAATATCAAAAACAAGCTTGACAGTGAATTTTAAGCATGTTTCAGTAACCAAAATTTGTGTTTGGAAAGGCAATTCTGAGTTTCAGTTCCAAGCAAAGTACAGAAGCAGGAACCAAAACTACCATTAGGCAAGAGAAAATAAAATATTGTCTCTGAAGAGATATAAAAGTAAATTAAATGGGGGTGGGGGAGAAAAATGTAATAAAAATAAAATACAATATGTGAAGTATGATCAGCAGCCAAAGAATGTACATTCAAAATGAAATTACCCCCCCCCCCCCCCCCACCCTAAAAAAAATGTTTGGAAGACCATGAGTATTTCCCTTCCCAGTACATTTCGGATACGGAGAGGTGTCTGTCTGTCTGTCTGATCTTTGACATATTGCTCACTGGATTTTCATGTGAACTGAATCACTATACAGTATAAGTTTCATAAATCTGGAAAAATACTGAGAGTTGTTTTTTTAACTTAAAGGATTTGAAAAATCTGAGCCTCATTTGCGGAAAATAATTAAAATTCTACTCAAGTCTCAAGTGCATGCAGAAAAAAGTATGTCCAGTTGAATTAGTATTATATCACACAAACTGTCTTATTGTGTCTTTTAGTTTTTTAGTTTTAGTAGAGGTTTTACGGTGCTCGCAACTGCATAAGGTCATATCTGCCGTCATAAGGGAAAACGACGAACGGTCAAAATTTTTCTATTTTTCTATTTTCACATATTTCATAGAGTATTTAATTCTGCATCTGATGGTGTAAAAATTTTTGTCATATCCTAATCCGTTGTTGCGTAATTGAGAGTTCGTCGTTTTCCCTTACACTGGCGAGCTCCGAGCCAGAGCTTAGTGTAAGGGAGAACGACGAATGGTCGATCGGTCAAGGATCACTGCTCGTTCAGCATTGTCCCCTGGTCTCTGTTGTTGGGCAAATTCTGCATGGGCGACGAATGACAATTGGTCACTGTTGCGTCAGTACAAACATACTAGGTTTTTTGAAAACAAATACACCACCACCCCTCCCCCGGAGTACCGTCGACCAGGTTTATAAGAATGTATCACTTAGTGTGTCTTTCTGTCTGTCTTCACGTATTAGGCCTAAGCTGATGGTGTGAATTGACAAGAGCAGGCGGAAGAGAGGGGAAAACGGATGGGAACAGGGGGAAAGGGGTGGGGATGGGAGGGTCAAAAAAGTATTTAGGGAGAAATTTATTAGCACTGCATATTAGACGTCCGCCAGATGTTCACAGACTAATGCCATGTTAGTTTGCTGTCCAGTCATTTGACATCCTAAATCCCAACGATGGTTATAGTGCCGCAATTTGTCTTGCACATGTCACTGGTCGACATCATTATAGAATTACCAAGCAATTAATGACACTGTGTTATGAGAGTAAATTTCTTTGTTCAACTTAAAAAGTGGATGTATTGTGGCGACACTTAGTCTTGCTTTACGATTTTTTATGACTTGATGGACGTTACAATCGAATATAATAATGTCTTGCAGATTCAAACTGTCCTTGTAGATCTCTACTTTGTGGTGTGTTTTCCGATCCGATCAACTGAATCCTTTATTCTATACAAAGCGTCACATTACCTCTCCCGAAAGCGTTTGTGATACAGTCTTGTCAGATTGTTACATTTCTCATGTGTAAGTTTGACTTTGCAATGATCTGATCGTATTATTGACATTGTAACATTGTTGATCCCTTTCGTCGTGCAGGGAAAAATTTGCAATTAGCGAAAATAAAAGTAAAACTCGCTTCTGAAGAGAATACACTAAAGAGATATCGTGGAGACCAAACTTTGGTTCCGAATGAGACAGTTTTAAATCAAGCTGTTAAAAATGTGTGCACATCTGATTTGTACACTGACTGTGTAGTACTTAACAAAGCGAGGAAGGGAAACGAAGGACGTTTACCAAGTTACAGTTGGGATATAACAAACACCTAACTTTATACGTATAATAGCTTGTTTGTATACGTCTTGTTTTTATTTGTAGTAACCAGTACACAGTCATTACTGTCAATAATGCGTCACAACTGACCATCGCCAACGCCTATAAACGTTCACGAGTGTAAAGGAGAACAACGAACCGTACCATTCGTCGTTTTCGCTTACATCGCAAGGCTCACCTGCGGGTGCGCAGTGTAAGAGAGAACGACGAATGTCGAATAACTTTGCTACTTTTTAACCTAAACCATTCAAACTTTAGAACTGCTTTATGAACACCTCATTCAGATATCTGGTGATTTACAGCTTAAAAGAATGAAAAATAGAAGAGTTATAAAGTGAAAACAGTTTTTGCCTCTCCTGAAAAATTTGCCTCGCTACCTGCACAGGACCATTCGTCGTTTTCCCTTACGACGGCAGATATGAGCGCCAGAAGATTAGAGGTGTTAAAAACAAACATAAAAAGAAAAAGGGGAGATAAGGACGATATGTTTCTTAGGAATGAAGAAGCAAACCACACCAGAGCACCCGCCAACCACCCACATTATGTCTTTATAAGAGATTTGAATGCACTACTAAACAAAAACAGGTACATGGGGGGCCCTCAGTGGCCTAGAGGTTAAGGTGTTTGCCTCTCACTCAGTAGGTCCCGGGCTTGAATCCGGATAGCAACAGAAAATGTTCTTTTCTAAAATCTTCTCCTTTCACATCCTGTCCTGCTCTATAACAATGTTCTGTCATCTGCTTTCATCTTCACTTTCTGCCCCCACTTCCTCACCTCCTTTGCCGTCTTCTCTGGTTCCCTATTTCTTTCTACAGCCTTTCTACTGCTACTCCTTGGCTCTTTCTTACTGCTGTCTTTCAGCCACACCCCAGATCTTATGGTAGGAAAGATCTACACCTAGCCTTCTCTGACAAGGGCGAAAAATCTAGGAGGTCCTGTGCGCAAGTTGCGCACTTTTAAGATCCCTTGGCGGTTTAAAAATTGATAAGAGTAGGCTTCGGCTGCCACCTGGGCAAAATAAAATTTTTTCTACCAACTGAAAATGCTTAATGTGTCCCGCGGATCATGTGACCTTATGCAGTTGCTAGCGCCGTAAAACACTTATAACAACAAAAACAGGTATATTCCAAGGATGCCTTTATACTGTAGGATTTCAGGAGTACATTTTTTTGCGACACTGAACTGAGTAACTTGAAGTGCACAAGAGAAGGTGAGACAGAAGATATATTTAAGTTCAGCAACTTAAGGAAAAACACTCTCATGACAAAAAGAGCACCCTCCCCCCAACAGGTTTGAGCAAACAAAAGCAGATATCTTGTTTATAGAAGTCTGGTCTTTTAAAAAAGAGTTAAAGAGAAGCACATTGACACAGTAACAGCTATTTTCAGCTAGGAATGAGCAAGGCTGACAAACAGAAACGAATAAGGATTTAGTGAAGAAGTAGGACCTGCCATTAGCACCCTCAACTACTTGCCAAAGCACCAACCACTTGATTCCCATAGATGAAATAAAAACACAATTTCTTCTTTCTAGTCTTGACACATGAACGGAGCTTTGCCAAAAGTGTATTCTGACAACTAAAAATACACCTGTTATAACTCTTTTCAGACACACATACACATTTATTGGCTATGGGCATGCCAGAGGACATCCAGAAAAAGAACAGTTCAACACCAAGATCATAATATGTTTGGGATGTTACCGTTCTACTGGATGTCCTTGTCCTAAGGTCTAAATTAGGATTAACTCGGTCATTTGAGATGTTGCACAACATTTTTAGTGTTTAGGCTACCAGGATTGTCCTAGTCATTTGGAATATTTTTATGACATGGTATAGTCGAACCAGAAGCAATGTGGTTGTTTTGTATGAATTAAGGAAAGGAACAGCTGGTAGCAAACACTAAACCCATTTTATGAGAGAAGGCAACACAATCTCATGGTGAGACGTCATCAGAAGATAAATGAGTTGCACTGCCTTAGATGAGTGTGATCCTTCAAAATCAATAACACCTACACATGAAAGAATGTAGAATTCATTAGATTCCTGGTTTAGGGTGGGCAAGACATAAAGGAATACATAAGAGGAACACTTTTACTAATTTTCTAAAAGTGAGGCCAGTAAAAGAACTTTTTGTCAGTTAAGAACTTTATGAAAATATGATTTATAGGTCAACATCCGACAAAAGGCTTCAAGAGGCAAGGAGTCAATGATATTGTATGTTCTTGATTAATTTGCTAATGAAAAGACAATAAGCAGCTCTGTTGTCAAATGTTACCACACTTACTAGGAAATGTGACACCACTCTCGACAGTTAAGCATACACAATCTTAGAAATGACCAGCTTCATTTGAAAGTATTTTGTCAAGCATACTGATGTTTTTCTCTGAGACGGATAGCAATGGCTTCAATGAGAAGAAAACCTTCCCAATTGCAGATAACACTTTTCTGACAACAAATTTGAGTCTGAGTCTGAGTAAAGAGAAGAATATAGACCGGAAATTGACTTTTTGGTGACGGGAAGAAGCAAGAATGACCGACGGAAACAACAGCACAAGTAGCGGAAATACAATTGTCTCAGTATTCTGATCTCTTAATAAATAACAATATTGTAGAACATTAAGACTAAATAAATATACTGTTTGTTATAATAAAAACTACCAACATCTAGCTCAACTGATGTAGTTATTCAAGGTATTTGTATTTCTGATACAATATACGCAATTTAGTAATGTAAGAGTTATATCCAGACTTGGTCTCCTAGCACTGGATACAGTCAGTACCGGCATTTACATAAATTTGTTTGTTGATAGGTTGAAAAACCATCAGACCTATGGACAGACTAAACAAGGTATAAACATGAATGTTTTACAGGCCTAAATTTAATTCATTAAGCCGACGGACCAGAGTGCAACTACCTATACCCTTTTGCGCATATCTAGCAGTTAATGCACAGGAGCTTAGGTGCACAGGTCTCGAAAGTCTGGTACTCTCAAAGGATCCGGATTCAGTCGGTTAATTATGTTCTCTTCAAGAAAACCATAATATCAATAATATTATTACATAGAATTTTAGTGAAGCATCTACAAATTATTTTGAGGTTCAAACAAATAAGTATGCCTAAACACTCGACATGTTTAGTTCTGCTAAGAAAATAAGAGTAAAACAGGCAATAATACAATCCTGAAAGCATCCTTTTCAGTGAATCAAGTAAGAGAGAAGAAAAATAAGGTTGGAAAGATGAAATTCTGAATATTCCCAAAAAAATTCTCTGTTCTGATGCTCTGTCTTATTTTAATATACAGTTGAACCTGCTGTAACAGTCACCTGTCCAAGAAAATCACCTTTACAAACAACCATTTCCCACTTTACATTTTGTCTATATTATATGACCCTTTCAAAGATGTCCACCTGAATAAAACGATCACTTTTTTCCAAAACAATGCATTGCCATCTTAGACAAGTTTGACTACTATTTAAGTGTCAATGTTGCTGTGGGCTTTTACTCTAACCTCGGCTCATCATTCAAACAATCCATCTGTTTATGAGGTAAAATATAACTATTAACTTAATAAGAATTGCTGATAATTTCAAAATGTCAAGTTTAGCTCTATTTGTGGGATTTAAATCCAGAAATTCCAATTTCTCAATGTCCATACATTAGACATGGGAAAAGGACTAGTTTAACAAATTAACCCCATGTGTGTTGACTCATTAAGGTGGACAGTGAGATCAGACATCATCTGTGCAAGGCATGCTGAACAAGAAATACAAGAAAATTATGCTACTGACCGGACAGGAGGACATAGATCTACAAAAAACAAGGTAACAAGGAACAAAACTAACTCTGCTGTGTTGAAACATTAGAGTTTGTTGTTTTAGTAGAGGTTTTACAGTGCTCGCAACTGCATAAGGTCATATGACCGCCAGAAGATTAGAGGTCTTACAAGAGAGTAACAAACATAAGAAAGAAGGACGGGAGATAAGGACGATAGATGTTCGATAAGAAAGAAGAAGCAAACCACACCAGAGCACTCGCCAACCACCCACAAACATTAGAGTGTACGGGGAGACAAGAAACAGTTTTTCAAGTTATGTCAGGTTACACAATTAACGTTCTATTTGGTTGAACCCTCAATTGTGAGAAGAGATAGATCGTTGAACATGGCATGCCTAGCTTGAAACACAACTAACCCCGTGTGAGATGACATTGGCCAGGTGCTCCACATCAGTAGGCTGATACTGCTCACCAGGCAGAGCCCGTCGGTTCTTTAGCCTTCACAACAAGCACAGGTGCAAGGAAAAGTATGGTGAAAAGCATACCAAAAATCGAAATAAGTCAAAATAAAAAGGAACTAAAACAATAAAAGATGAAGGCAGTGGGATAACTGAATGGCTTTGTCAGTGTAAATTTGTGATTTAGACAAAACTGAAATCTCCTTACCAGTAACAAAAGATGACCCCCAAAAAGGGTTAAAAATATGCTCTGGTAATACAAGAAGTCAGACAAAACTAGGGAAATGTTTTAACATGTGCTTAATATTCAAGTATAGAAAATACAAAAATGAAAGACCTGAAAGGACTGTGCTGTGGGCAACCAAACTTGACCAGAAAGTAGTCAAGTACATTAATTTGCTGTTTGAAACCTCATTTACCTTCTTCTCATTCACATAAACAAGAAAGGGGGAAGATGTGCGATTAAAGATCAGGTGAAAGAAAGAGACTATGCCTCACTTTCTACATATATCACAAAATATCTCCTCTACTTCGTGAGATGGCATTTATTTCTTTAAAGTTTCAAGATTCCAAAAGCAAAATGTTACTGAATACTGATGTGAGCATTAACTTACCAGTTAAGGCGCATTACATTTTGGTTAAAAAAAAATTCTCGCATAAAAATTTTTGTTTTCTCAATATTAGGCTAAAACAGCACCTGGACATGGATGGCTGGTGCCTCTATAAATAAATCATTGATGGTCTGGTCTGGTTTTCTCAATATATACAGATAGTGGAATACAATAAAAATGGTACATAAATATATTTGAGGTCTTAAAAACATGAACAAAGATAGTTTCAAGGCATAGCAAAGATCTATAGTGATATATGATGAAAAGTGCATAATCTCTTAGGAAACTAATAAGGAAAAGTGAGCTCTAGAGTTACTAAAATGAGATACGTTTCACCATTATGGTGGCCACTGGAGGGAAGCATCAGTGTATGGTACTTAACACTAGAGAAGAGAAGGCACATTTTTACAAAAAAATATCAAAGAAAAGTGAAAAATCCCATACATTTCTGTCCATGAAAAATAACCGTTTTCCAATTTTCCGCCTTCAAATTTTTAGCTTAGAATCATTTTAATTATTTAAGAATGAAAAGAGCAAAATTACATTTTATATGATTTAACAATGAACACTTACATCTTGCTTTTCCCAATTTCCCAATTTTGTATATATGGGCTTTCTTTGAACAATTGTAAAACGAAGTGTGTTCTGTTTCAATCATAGCACGACTGGACCTCCAAACTAACGAATGTCAACAACAATGAGCCTATGTCAGATACAGATCTCTTTTCACAGAAGGCAACATCACTAAACAATCTTAAACTCACTAAGACGGTGCGCTTTGATTCCTGATTTGCACCGAAGGACGAAATATTTTTAGGTGTTTAAAAAAAATAAATCTGAAGAGACCCAAAAGAAATATTTTTAGGTTCCAAGTTTTAGCCTTAATATGGGTCTTGTTTTTTTTTCTTTACTCTGATAGAAGCCACATGGGTAGACTGAAATTACTTTCAATATCCAGTAAAATTATTGAAGTAGGAAAACTCTCAAGTGTTGAAGGAAATTCAAACCGCATTTCCATTTGAAAAATTCTGGTACTGTTTGAATTAAATTTGGAAGGGTTGGGTGGGGGGAAGAAGAGGGAGAGTGATGACAAAACTGTAAATAGATTATACTAAAATGCTGTTCAAAGGAAGACGAAAGGTCTCTCTATCCAAGCAATGTCACTCACCTGGAGAAGTCAGCACTGGAAGAAATCTGCCTCAGTAGCGTCCCCACCATGATGCCGACATCAACTCCAGTTCATAAACGCTGCACAACAGGTAACTCTAGCAAAACTATGACATGTCTCTCTGATGATTCAGTTTGGGTAGTTACTGCCTTCTCCTGATGCCCATCACACTGGCTTCTTGTTCTTGTATACCTTTAAGAATCACAGAGTCAGTACTGAGAAGTAATACATTTTAATGTTAGTTTAAAAAAAAGACAAACCTACTCGGACATTTTAGCAGTTGCAAAACATTTGCGTGGCATTGTGGTGAAATCAGGCGCTCGTCAAAATAATGAAATTAAAAAAACCAAAACTCAACATTTTTCCACCAGTTCTGCAATTTTCATTGAATTTTCTCTTTGGGCTCAAAACCCTCTATGTCCATTCAAAAACGGATTTTTCAGTAGACTTTACTGAAAAACGTTGATCAAAGGCACAATAAGTGTAAATTTTCAGTTTCCAAGGACACTCAAGCTTTTGAAGTTGCCACACTTAGGCAATCATTTTCTTGCTAATTTTAACCTCAGACACCAGACAACCCCCACCTCCTTCAATCTCAAATATCTTGACTTCTATTCAAGATGGAAGGATCTTATTTTCACTAAATACAAGACAAATGAACAAGCTTTTAGATAATACCATCAATAACTCCACTTGCCTAAAATTTGACAAGTGCCCGATTCCAGCATGTCACGCCAAATTTATAATATCACAACTCATCCACCTGCCGGAACTATCAGGATAAATAAACTGTTTGTGATTGACATTGATTATATATAATCCATGTCCCATTGACAAAATTCAGATAATTTAAAAGACAGGCTGCTCTGACCCTACCTGTCAAGGCCATCACAAGCTGAGAGGGAAACAACACCAGATAAAAATACTCGAGGTAATAACCTACCCACACAAGAACTGCATTTTGTGAGTTATGGAATCTCCAAACGGTTTGTTAATAATGAAATTTGCTAGAATTTTTTGCTTTGATTCGACAGCCTGTTTGATTGTTATCACCAACACCTTCTGTATATTTGACGAAACCTAATCCTGTATCTGACACATCTCTATTTTAGGATAGAGCAGGTAAGATTGAGGGGGGCAACACTCCTTTAGCTCAGTTGGTACGGTGGTGTCCGCACAACAGCAGCCCATTTTGGGAATAAGGTTGTTGCTCTTAAGTGAAGATTCCTGCTCACTGAATTTTCAAAGAGAAAAGGGTGGAGGTGGTGGTGGGTTAATCCGCAACCCCTCCTCACACACATGCATATGTCCCAATCACAGGATGAGGTGATGTTAATCCAAAAAGTGATAAAATAGCCAGCATCAATAGCCGAGGTTTGAGTTGCTTGATCACAGGGTGGTAATTTTACGCACAGAGGCTGAGACTTTTTTCCCCCAGCCAGGAGACTCTTGCAGGAAGGTGGCTCTCGGTAAGAGGGTGTTATCACAGCTCATATATCCCACAAAGTGTACTTTTGGCCCTAGCAAGTGCTGTGAGGCAATTAACTAGAGAGGGGGGGATGCATTCCCACTGAAATTATAGGCCAGTCTTGGTGTTCAAACTGATTTTGAATTGAAAAAAAGAAAGAATTGTCAGGCAATTTAGAGTTGCTGTTAGAGGAAAAGTTGGCTGTTAAAGGGAGTAGGCCTAGTTCATAAAATTTAAAGAAGATTCCATTACACAAGCTTAGGTTGTGGTAAGATGATGGTTGCTCTTATCTGGGTTGCTGTTAAGTGGACATCACTACATCATGCTGGACTACTGAGATAATTGCTCTGGTTCAAATCCCCAAACGAACGTTCTTGAACTTCGGTTGTTTTGGTGGGTTTATTAAAACTCTCCACCCAGCGGCTTGGTCCTATTAAAGATGGATGTTAGTTTTGAAGGTCCTGCCTTACATTATGTTGATTGATAGGGACATTAAATCCATATGAAAACAACAATATCGGGTAAATCTAAGTTTCATTTTGAATGCACACATAGTTTGTTCTAAGAAATAGTTTTCGCTCTCATATATATATATTTCATGCCATTTCCAATGTTTGTCAATACAGCAGCAGTGTTCAGTGTTATTTTGAGAAGGAGTGAGAGAGAGAGTTAGATGGAGAAGGAGTGAGAGTGAGAGAGTGAGAGAGACAGAGAGAAAGAGAGAGAGAGAGGGAGGGAGGGAGAGAGGGAGGGAGAGAGAGAGAGAGGGAGAGAGAGAGAGAGAGAGAGAGAGAGAGAGAGAGAGAGAGAGAGAGGGGGGGGGGGAGGGAAGGGAGAAGGGTTGTGATGTAAATTTACTATATTTACTACGAGTCTTACACTGAGCAGTCAATTATATATGGCCACCTCTATTCTCACCCGGGATGAGAATAGTGCAGACGAGTCTTTTGGCTATTCTCACCCGGTGCGCGTTCACCGTTATAGCCTAGATCTAGGCCAACAAATTTTGCGTTCACCCTAAACCACGGAATTCTACACTGTGATAACAGAAACATTGTAGAATTCTGTGCCGTGAACAAACGTTCCATTACAACTGTAGCCTACTAAAAGCGTACAATTTTGTCTGTGGGCAGTGGAGAGAGAGAAAGAGAGAGAGAGAGGAGTAGCGCGAGAACTTCCGGTCAAAACAAAATGGCGACCCGCGTAGTTCGGCTCGATTCGGAAAGTTAAATAGCTGTAGCATCTTTGTAGACAACCAAATTAATTTACTTTTGTGTTTTAACATCATTTTTTAACTTTGTTTTGGTCAATTTGATCGTCTACACCGATAGACAGTATTCAGAAAGAGACAGAGAGAGAGAGAGGGGAGGAGTAGATCTTGCGAGAACTTTCGGGCAAAACAAAATGGCGACCCGCGTAGTTCGGCTCGATTCGAAAAGTGAAATAGCCATAGCATCTTTGAAGACGATCAAATTAGCTTACTTTTGTGCTATAACGTAATTTTTTCTTGGCTTTTATCAATTTGATCATCCACACCGATAGACAGTATTCCAAAATGAGGAAAAGCAGGTCTTGTTTCGCACCGGGTGAGAATAGCCTACGCTACGCTGGCAATTCTCACCCGGGGTGAGAGGTAGATCGTTTTTCTATTCTCACCCCGGATGAGAATAGCCACTTCCATTATATATATATATATATGCATGCATATTTTGTGTCACAGAGCTAGTGAAGGCACACTGCATTTCGTCCAGTGTTGGATAAATAAAGGATAGCTCATCTTATCTTACCACTAATTGCACAAGGGACATGTTTTAAAAATGTGTTTTACATAAGATCATATGAGCGCGCTGGAAACATTAAACATTTTCAGTTGGTAGGAAATTTTGAATTTTGCTGATGTAAACAAACCAACATGCCAACATGGCGGTGGGACAGCAAATCTTAACCAGTGCCAAGATCTAGATCTCTAGATTCTACCCCTAACCCAACGCCTTACTGAAAACCTAACCCTACTGCCCTAACCCTAGCCTCAACCCTAACACTCCATACTCCATTCAGAACCTCTGTTTAAATTTCGTAGTGGTCGCTCGTCACGGAATTCCTCCCAGTGCCAGTAGGTTGAGTAGGGCAAGCAGTCGAGCCACCTCCTCCCTCCTCCCCCGTAAAACAGTTCAGCTTTGTTCAAGTTATACCAATTTCATCGTATCACATTTGGTTACAAACTTGTACCTGTAACTACTTTTGAAATCAGTCGTCTTGACTGCACTTAGTCAATGAGGAATGCGAGGTGGGAGGTCCCCTTCGTTGTTGGTTCACACTGCAGTCTGCAGTGGTTGCGACCGTTTCGCTTTGTTTTGCCGGAAGTTGGGACGGGCTATTTGGCCAGATAAAATTTCATATTGCCGTTGGAATCAGGAAATCAATGTTCTATAAAACCTACAAATGTAGCAGTCGCTTCATCGTATGAAACTTTGACTGAGATTCATTAATAACTTTGAAAACTATCGTATTTTGATTTGTATAAGTGCCCAAAATGTTGTCCAAACAATATATCTGCTTCAAAATCACAGAATAGATTAATAGCAATGAAGGGAAATTTGTCAGCGATTCTGACAATAGGGCAATATAAATTTAAGGAAATCTTCCAAAATTTTAATTGTTGCAAAACAAACTCGGTGCGAAACAAATTTTTGACAGAAAGAAAAAGAACAGAATGAGCAATGAGCATTGAGCAAGGAGGGAGACAGTTGACTTGAGAGCTTGGAACTCAAAAAGGTGTAGTAGGCTATCGGATGATTCTCTCGCCGGGTCGTCAATTCTAAATTCTAGATCCTAGATCTATATCCAGTCTCCTGGATCCAGATGATACACCGCCTCGCCCCCACCCCATGTCTGCTAAATAATCTAACTTGGGTCCAGATCTTGCCAAGAGACTTGGATTTGTTTGGCTGAGCCAGGCTCCTCCTCGTCTGGCGACGCTGCGCTTCAACCTCGCCACTTCTTTCTGCGTTTTATCCGGCCACCTCTATTCTCACCCGGAGTGAGAATAGTGCAGGCGAGTCTTGTGGCTATTCTCACCCGGTGCGCGTTCACCACATTTTGCGTTCACCCTAAACCACAGAATTCTACACTGTGACTGTGATAACAGAAAAATTGTAGAATTCTGTGCCGTGAACAAACGTTCCATTACAATTGTAGCCTACTAAAAGCGTACAATTTTGTCTGTGGGCAGTGGAGAGAGAGAGAGAAAGAGAGAGAGGAGTAGCGCAAGAATTTCCGGGCAAAACAAAATGGCGACCCACGTAGTTCGGCTCGATTCAAAAAGTTAAATAGCCGTAGCATCTTTGTAGACTACCAAATTTATTTACTTTTGTGTTTTAACATCATTTTTTAACTTTGTTTTGGTCAATTTGATCGTCCACACCGATAGGCAGTATTCAGAAAGAGACGGAGAGAGAGAGAAGAGGGGAGGAGTTGATCTTGCGAGAACTTCTGGGCGGGTGAGAATAGCCACTTTCGTTTTATCCTCTCCCAACCGCCCACACTTCGTCCACTAGAGAAAGCGGGTTGAGTTCTCTGTTGGATCTCGGTCTGAAATGTTACAGTTGGATAAGGTCTCGCATTTCAGATCATAACTTATGGAACAAAAACCCGTATAGGCGCAACTGATTAACCAAGCAGTGAAAATTTTTTATCATTGACCTGTCTGTTACATCATTGATCCGCCACTCTCGTGAATGTCATGCCATCTCCCTTGTAAATCTTCGATGAAAGGGTACAGTGTTTGCCCCCAGACGGGAATATCACAAGCTGGGTGGATAGGCGCTACGAGTTTGCACCAGACAGAATCACAACAAACTGTGAACTCTTTGTTCTCCTGACCAATACAGCAGGTGATTCTACACCTGAATTTGCTAGACAGAGGAATTTTGATTGGTGCGGTCACAACATGATGTCGCGTTACGAAAGAGAGGGGGGGGGGAATGTGGTTAGAGATGGAAAGCTAGACATTTTGGACAGATAAAGGGGTAGAGCAATAGGATAAGTGTAGATTTTGAGCTTCATGATTGGATAAATAAAAGTGGCACACCTCATGCCATTGTGACTGGTCATCAAGGCTGACCAATCTTTGCTTGCCATGAAAGTCATAAACCCACTCTAGGGGTCAATCGTGCTGTGAACTTTTGCGAAAGTAAGCAACTTGTGTTTCACGCGCTCATATGACCTTAGCAGTTGCGAGCGCCGTAAAACCCTATACTATACATATACACATACATACATACTCTAAGGGTCATGCCAGTTTATTTCACAGTAAGGGGAGATCATTTTACCTATTGTTGGCCTGAATCTGAGCCACCCTTGGTGCGTTGGCTAAGATCCTGTTCACCTAAGATTTTGCATTTTCCTTGCTCTCAAAATCGGTATCTTAGGCGGAGACTAATGTATGTAATACTTTATTATGTCCTATCCACCATGATTATACTTTTAAAAAAAACTATTCTTCAATGATTCCAAAACAAGACTGTCAAAATAAAGTGTTTGAGTAAAGAAGTCTGACAGTTAATTATTTAACTCTTGCCATGTTGGGGGGGGGTTCACAATTGTTCTCGATCTGGGTGTTGTAAATGTGATAGGTTGGATGTGACGTTGAGAGAGGCAAGTCATTTGAGCCATCAGATTTATTTCATCAAATATAATGGATGTATGTTTTTTTGTTTTTGTTTTAAAAAATCAAGAACAAAAAAACCCAAAAGAATAAAGTATGATGACAACATGGTGTCAGCAAATAAAAAATTCATGAAATGGGTCTCATCATAAAATAAAGGGTCTGTTTTCCACGGAAGACGTTACCATATTGAATTTTGATGATTGACTATGGATTTGCACCTTTAAATATTAGTGATTTATATTGTGGATTGGCGTGAATGTAGAGTTAACAGGTAAAAAAGTAAAAGTGTTTAATTGTAAAGTACACTGCAACCACCCAATTCTGCAAAACATCATTTATTGTTGTTTGATTTCTCTTTTTTAACAACGTTTTTGCATTTCAGTGTTCATGTTGTTTTTTTTGGTGTTCATTGATTTGATTTTTGTCTCCTCAGATCTGATGTGACAGCATATTTGAAGAATTCTTTGTTTCACTAAAAACAAAAGCCATTGTGGTTATAGTATAGTGCAAACTCCCAGTGACTTACACGTGCATCAAGATGTCTGCACCAGGAGCTGCCATGACTCATACTAGTGCCGAGGCTACTTCAAACAGTTACATGGGGAAAATGTGGAGATACCGGAACATTTCCTACAAGCTCGGCATCATTGGCTTGGTGGTGTCTACAGGGTTCTTTTTCTTAGGTTTTGTCTCGCAAAGATGGCTTGAGGCTCGCATTTATCACGACTCTGACCTTTCGCTAACTGATGTGATGTTGGGCAGCCATGAAGATTGGGGATACGGTGTATCAGACAGCTACGAAACTATTTCTTGGGGATTTTTTAGTGGAAGCTTTGGCAATGATATTTGTGACTCTGGCTGTTCTGTAGGTGAGGCATTCACTTTTTGTTCTTTAATACTGCCCACAGACAGATTCCCTTTCTCCCTTTTTTGCTGGACACCATCCCTCTTTCCTTTAGTTTACCGCTGGTTTCAGATTAACCATGTTGGTTTAATTGGACTACACTGTACTCACAAACTCACATACAACCTCACAAACACATAATCAGCATTTATATATGACCTTTTTGTGTTGCAAGTACCCTAAAACACTTACTAAAACAGAAAAAGACGCACACAAATGCACACACACACACACACACACACACACACACACACACACACACACACACACTCACACACACACACACACACATCTAATCACACATGCACACACTTATGCTACCACTTGCACACGCAGTGCAATCATGCGTACTCACAGATGCCTGTGCAATCAGACACACATGTGACATGCGTGGTCACACCCACTCATGCAATTAAACACACGCAAATACACACAGGCACTCGTTGGCAAACACATGCTTAAGAAAATCCACATTTGCAAGAAAATACCCTGCTTTTCTTTACTCATTTCTGTTATCCCTGATTCTTCTGTGAAGTGTCTAGGACTGGTGACTAGAAAAATCATGATCAACATTATAAGTCCTTGCAATAAATTCTTAAAACTTGACTTATGAAAATTGTTTTTTTGATCTCTTGTTTGCCTGTCATGGACATCTTTTCGTCAGTGTTGAAGTAATCTAGGAATGATGAATTTTTCATTTTTCATGTTATTGGTTAGTCGTCATATTCTAAAATACCTCCCCGGGGTGGTGCCACTGACTGAAGTGTCTTTAGGCCATTCCCAAAGGGGGGGGGGGGGGGGGGCATTTCTTGTTCTAATGGACAGTAAAATTGTAAATGGGCTGATCCAACAATGTCATGCTCATTACAGTGCCTGAACTACAACAGGGAACTGCTGCTTTTTCTTTCCTAATTTTTACTATCGTCATTTTCTTCTACTTCTTTTGTATGTTTGTCACACTCTTGTGACCCGCTATTTACGGGGTGCCTTGATAGTCGAAGCAGACCATGTGCTGTTGAAGCTAGAGAGGGGAGCAGAGTCAGTTTGATTCCCTGTAAAGACTCCTCTGTTGACATCCACCCCTTAGCGCTCATATGACCTTATGCTGTTGCGACCGTCGTAAAACCTTTATTAAAACAAAACATATATTCTAAAATGATTCAAAGCTGTAAGACTGAAAGATGCTGATGGAAATCTTGTTTGCTTGTTTTCTTTTTTCAGATTTGATAGTTATAGTCATAAAGGCTGTAACAAATCTTGTCCAGCAATATTACTTTGTTGTTGTCTTTTTGAACCTTAATTGTACGCAAGATCATCAGAGATGTTATTTTTTTCAGGTCTTACAGTGACTCGAGTACTTGTTTGCATCTGCTTCCTGTCTCACATCTTGGGCTATGTTGTGGCCGCTGTTGAGAATTTCCGGGTGGTTGATGTCAGGACATACCACACTCACAGGCTGGAGCTGGCTGTCCTCATTACTGGTTTGTGTACTGGAAGAATATAATGTCATGGTGCTGCCATTACAGTTTAAGTTGGACTTGTGCCATACTGGAATTTACCTATTTTGTAATTCTCCCCTTCATGGTGCATCATTTAGTATTTAAATTTTGCAAATTTTTCTGGCTTTTATCCTCAATTTAGACATTTCCATTTTTTATGAAAAAAGTGTATTATAAAACAACAAATCAGGTTGTCTCAGTTATATCAAAAATGCAAAAAATGAGATAGGTTATATGGCTGCATCATGACGACAACATATATATTCGGTCAATTGACAATGTTTCAGGTCCTGTCCTTTTGGGCCTCAATTTGTAGAGCGCCTTGCCAGGTCCTACAAAGGCAAAGGTATGGTGGACATTCAACTGGCAAGAGACAATGTTTTAGACGTAATTACCAATACTTGATTGACATAATGACTACTACCTCACTTTGAATAATTTAATTTTTCTCCATAATTAAGATACTTAAGTTTTAATACTTGAGATTTTGTTCTTGATCAACAAAGATTCAGAAGACTGCGTGGGGATTGATATGTGCCTTTCCCAGTGGTTAGCGATCTTTCTTCAGAAGTAAAGTGGGAACAAATTATAAATTTGATTTTCAACAGTATTACTTCTATGGTTTGTGAAACTGAGAAAATGTGAGATGACCTGAGAGACAAAATGAGTATCAGAGACAAAAAGAGGTTCAGAGATAAAAAGAGATGCAGAGAGAGAGAGAGAGGGAGAGAGAGAAATGCAGAGAGAGAGAGAGAGAGATGCAGAGAGAGAGAGAGAGATGCAGAGAGAGAGAGAGAGAGAGAGAGAGAGAGAGAGAGAGAGAGAGAGAGAGAGAGAGAGAGAGAGAGAGAGAGAGAGAGAGAGAGAGAGAGAGATGTGCATAGGGCTTATTTAGCAAGTCACATTCTCGTGGAATGCATAACTTCCCTCTTCCTTGAAAGGAAGTTCAGAAAAATGAGATAGTCAGGAATAGAGCGTCCACTTCTTTCTAGCGTAGAATTCTTCTGTCTACCTACAACCTTTCTGTGTAGGCACTCCGTACTTTTGACCACGTGGCATTTGCGGTTTTAATAGTACGATTTTCCCTGTTCCGCACAGAAAAAGTGAGGTTGATTCTTGCATTGGGAAGGTATTTTATCAAGTATCTCTGTCTGTCTAGTGGAATGCTGCATCTCACATAGACTGGTTGGCTCTGACATACAGGGTCAAAGCTTCCTGCCTCTGAAAAGATATATAAATAGTACCAATGAAGTAATGAAGGTATAAAACGTCAGTGCCTTCACCATGAAATCAAAATTGCTTGAGTTTCAGACTGGATTTTTGTTACTCTTTCATTATTTTGTATTTGTACAAGCGTTTATTGTATATTGGTGGGGCTTTTCACCTCCTATGCAAAAGACTTATTAAATAATATTCCCATTTGAAAACGAACATTTAAGAGAATCTTTTATTAGGATGTCCCACAAAACCAAGGCTGTAGGTGGTTCGTAGGTGCTGTAGTGTGATTTGCTCCTTCTTTCCGATCAAATTTCTAACATATTTATTTCTCCTCCTCCCTTTTTTTGCGTTTGTTACTCTCTTGCAGTACCTGTAATCTTTGGCATTTTTATATATTTATATATAACCTAATTGGGTTGCAAGTGCCGTAAAATGCTTACTACAACTAAAACAAAGTTAGGGTTAGCTCTAACAACCAGTGATGAAGCTGCCTGCCCTCTAAAGATGATGTAATTGCGACAATGGAAGTAAAAAACTTCTCCGTTGACTCAGTTGGTGTTATGCTAAACTACAGAACAGATGGCTCTTGTTTGAAGCCCAGACTGCGCAATCTTGAACTCGGGTCATTTTGTGGAGTTTTCAAGGCTCTCAATCCATTTGATTCTGTCCTATCAGAGAGGGATGTTAAATTGGGAAGACCTACTGATTAAATAACTTAAGAGTACAGATAAGTGCGTTAAACCCTTACACTTAAGTTACCACTCTAAATAATTGTTATTATGTTGATGCTCTTCTATTTCAAACAATCAGACAAATGGGCATCATTTCTAGTCAAGAGCAAGGAGGTAATTCCGTTAGAGATGTGTTCTGTCATGCAGGACATGGGTGAATCTGATTAGAATCCTCTTTGAGACGTTCTTACTCGTAGGTTGTTTGGGGAGTTTTCAAGAGTCGCCATTAAGTGGGTAGTTGGTGGATGCTCCTTTTTTCCTGTGAAATACCTACAGTCCTTATCTTCCCTCCTTTTTTAGTTTGTTACTCTCTTGTAAGACCTCTAATCTTCAGCACCTATATGACCAAATAGTGGTGCAAGTGCCTGGAACATTTACTAAAACAAAACTCTCTATTAACTTACTCTGTTGTATTGGCAGTGGGTGTTAAATTAAAAGATTTGTCCACCCTTTAAATGACTTTACAGCTTTTGGAAGTGGTGCTGAACCCGTACCATTGGTCTTATTCAGGGAGAATGATCTCTTTACCATCCACATGCTGCCTCTTTGATGACCATACAATATTGAAAAAGGCATCACACTCGTATAATTGTCAGTTACCTCTCCTCATGGACAGGGCTCCTGGCTGGTGGCAGTATGGTATCCTTCATGTACCTGTTCGTCCCTCAGCTGGACCACCTGGTACGCTTGAAGTACGGCTGGTCCACCACAGTCATGTGGCTCTCAGGCACCATCCTGTTCATCTCCTGTGTCTTCATCGTCTGTGGCAATCGGAAGCCAGTGAGTTTTTTGTTTTGTTTTTTATTTATTTATTTTTTGACTTGAGACATTTTGGTTTGACTGTAGCTTGCTTTATGATCTGAATTGTGTCAAGGGGAGCGTTGAACATTTGTAATAAAACATATCCTTTTTTTAGACCACTTGTCTTTCCAGGTTTTTCTTATGTGCATATTGGGAGGTTGTGTTTTAGGCCAGCCACTGTCTATATCACTTGTAAACTTCATTTTCATTCTTTTTAATACTGCTGTTGTCCCAATTTGTTTCCTTGTGAAAAGTGACTTATTGTGCCAAATCTATGTAAACTGTAACTCATCATAACCACCACCACCACCAACAACAATGACTTTTAGCAACAACAACTTCAGTCTGGTTGATTGGTAAACTTCTGTTGTAGTCTGCTTCTACTGCTTCTTTCTCCTTGTTATAGTCATCCTTGTTAGCTTCCTGGTTTTGTCATATCACAGTGCTTCTTTTTTCTGATCTCTAAATCTGTCCCCAGAGCTGCTAGAGAGATATAAAACACCAGTGTCTGTTTACTATTTATCTCTGTTTGTCACCATGCCTCACTATATCACAGTACTTATCTCACTGTTTCTCTCTACTTTGCCTTATGTATCACAGTTTTTTGCTCAGTTTCACTGCTTCTCACTATTGTGATTACTTATCTTTGAATCTCTCTACATCTCACTGTTTTTCTCTCTGTTCTTACTATATCTCACTACTTTTCTTTGCTTCTCACCATTTCTCCCTGTCTCTTTCCTACTTTTACAACTTCACAAATTTTCTGACCATTTCTTTATATCCGTCACTACTTTTTTTCTTTTTTTCACTATTTCTTGCTAGCATTTTGTACTTTCACTACTTCTCTCAATTTCTGACAACTTTTTTCTTTTTGCCTTCTCCACTTTTCCCTTTACCCTGTCAATTCTGTCCTCTCATTTCCCTCTGTTGTTTGTTTCTGTGTGTGTCTTACTTTTCCCTGCAGTAAATGACCCTATCGTTCATCCCAACAGAATTCTTGATTTTTATAAAAAAAAGGCGTTTACTAAAAAATGTAGGTAGTACTATTTAAAAAACGTAAATGACTGCTTTGAGTATTGAATTTTTATCATGAATTTTTAACTTCACTTTGAAGTAAAAACCAGCCTTTGCTGTGAACTAGTGTGAAAATAACCAGCTTGTGTCCTACGCGCTCATATGACCGCAAGTAGTTGTGAGCGCCGTAAAACTCTTACCAAACTAAAATGATGGTTATTGTATTGATGTGCTTCTCTTTAACTCCTCCCTTTTCCTTTCTGCCTTCCTCCACAGACGGTGGGTGTGGTGGTCACTCAAGCCGGGGCTGTCCACATGGCTCACTACACCACGACTCCCTCCCAAGTGACTGTCTTCCAGAGTGGACCGGCCCCTCAGCCACAGTACCCGCCCATGTCCCAGCCACAGTACCAGCCAGTCTCCCAGCCACAGGGGCCCAAGTTTCAGCCACAGTACCCACCTGCCCAAGCACCGTACCCAGCCCCAGCGAGCCAGCCTCTGTTGCCGGCGCACACTGCTCAGTACCCTCTGCCAAACCAGCCAATGGGTGCCCCTCCGGCATACTCCCCTGCTCCAGCCTATCCCATCGGACCAACCTCGCCCCCGGTCATGATGGGCTATCAGCCGGTACCCCAGGCGGAAGGCTATGCCCAAGCCAGTGCCCCGCCCCCAGAACCAGCTGACACACTCCCGGAGAAGCGAAGGTTATAGATCTATATATATGGCTTTGTTTTTGTTGTTTTTCAGTAAACTTTACATGTCTATTTGGTCAATTTTAAGTCTTTTTTTAAGCACTGAATTTTGTCGGTGTATTGGAGGGGGGGCTTCAGTGAATTTTTGTTGGTCACACTTTTGGTATCTTTTGTCAAAATTGTTTTTTTTTTTTTTTTTTTGGGGGGGGGGGGGGGGGGGGGGAGGTGAGGCTGAGTTTTTACCACAAATATTTCCTGTTCACTCAGTCAGTTACACTATTTTTATTATATTTCTGTGCATCAGTGCAGGTTCACAGGTTTTTATCTACAGTGAATTTTTCATAACTAGTCTACAATTGTAGCCTCTGACTAATGCTATATAGATGTACTGCCTGCTCCTTATTTCTAGGATTTGCTGTGCAAGGGTTTTGGTGATATAACATAAAATCTGTTTTAAAAAGAACAACACTTTATGTTGGGTGACGTTGTTGGAGCATTGATGGCTTTTTAGAAAAGAAAGAAATTTAGAGAAGTGGGAAATTGGATTAAAGAGTACTTGATCTGGTGCAGTTTGTAGTCCCTATCACGGACCAAAAACAGATGTGTATGTTTGCTGCAGGTACAATCATGCCTCATGTTGGCAGCTCCTACAGAATACCACAGTTTTCAGGAAGTTTCTGTCAGCGTCTTTGTACAAAAAAATTGGATCTTCCGAGTGATGTAGACTGAGAGAGAATCTCAGAGTGCACACTTAGCTCAAATAATGTCATGTTGAACTATGATCCTGATGACCTTGGTTTGAATCTCTAATGGGGCTTTCTAGAAGTTGGATTTTTTTTGTAGTGTATAAGGCTGCTCTGCCTCTTAGGTTTGTTATATCATGTTTAAGTTTAATTCCAATGGAGTCTTTACACACATTTGATTAAAATCACCTGTCGGCTATTTAAAAAATTAATGATCTAATATTTTATTTATGATATTCTAAGTATATATCTTTCATTTTGAGAATAGCTCAAATGCAAAACCCTGTGCAATACTCTGCCCAGCTTGACATAGTTTTATTTGGTTGTTGTTGCCAGCTTTTTTTGTGTCATGATATTACATTTTTACCTTTTCTAGTATTATATACCGATGTATCAGGTAAGTTCAGTGTGCAGCTTGGTGCAAAGGTGATACAGTGGAGATAGCTTAAACTGAAAACAAACCAAAAATAGGGAGGCTCTTGTGGCCTAGATAATAAGATGTTCGCCTCTCATTCAATAGGTCCCGGGTTGCAACCCAGAGAGCGAAGGAAAATTTTCTTCACTAAATATGCCTTCTTTCACCTTCCTTTCCGCTCTCAAACAATGTTCTGTGGTCTGCTTTCGTCTTCTTCTTCTTCTTCTTTTGGCCTCCGTTAGGAGGGTGGCAATCTGCCACAGGCAGACAGATAGGAGGCAACCCCCTATGGCTTGGTCCAGAGTACATCCCGGCCCTGTTTCACGTTATTCTCCTTTAGGGGGGCTTCGATGTTCATCCCCCTGCGGTCACTCATACTGTGCATGCTGCAGGTCGTCAGGACTTGTGCCACAGTCTAGACAGGAATCATTCGGAGCAGAGCCTATTGCATGGATGTATGACCCCAGGATGGGGCTCTTCGCGTTGCATCTTTGTTGCGATAACACTCTTCTCTGTCTGATGGTTAGGTCTCTCTCTTTGTCCCTCTTCAGTGGTGGCTTCACCTTTTCCTCGATGGAGTCGTGTACTCGCACTTTCTCCCAAGTGTAACGCAATATGCACGAGCTTGCCGACGCGAGATCGACTTGAGTGTTAGGCTTAACCTCTAGTGGGATGAGGCCAACTTGGTTTGTGAGTAGCATTGCATTGAAGTCTCTCTTACACCCGGTAATTATTCTACTTGATCAGTTTTTAATAACGTTGAAGTTCTCGCGATTTGTCTTGGCAGTTGCTGGGTATCAGGCTGCATGGGCATACTGTATGGTTGATCTGATGTGCGCGATGTACACCATATGCAGGTCTTTTTTGTTGCATCCCCACTCTGTGCTGGAGAGCCTGCGGAGGAGATTGACTCTTGAGGCTTATACACTCTTTAAATGTTAATTGGCAGTCAAAGATCATGCCAAGGAAGATATGTGTTTTTTTATAGGGCACCTCCTTGTCTCCCGCTGTAAACTGTGTATGCCAGGACATTTCACGGCTCCATGTTGTGAAAAAAGAATATTCACATTTTGCAATGTTAATTTCGATCTTCCATAGTTTCGACCAATCGCAGATCTTGTCTAGAGTGGCCTGAACCATTGTGGCGGCAGTGTCAAGATTTTTGTGCCATACCCATATTGCCATGTCATCTGCGAAGAGGCTGGTGTTGGTGCCCTCGGGTAGGTCCTCTACTATGTCGTTGATGTATGTGAAGAACAGATGTGGTGATAATACTCCGCTCTGAGGGACCCCAACAAGGAAGTGTAGTAGCGACTTTCTTTTCCCTCAAAAAGAACTATGGACCTTCTGTCATCTAGATAGGCCTTGATCTGTTATTGTAGACAGGTGGGCATTCCTAGGGTATTTATCTTGTAAGAGTCCGGTATGTCACACCTTGTCAAAGGCTCTTTAAAAGTCTTAGAGTAAGGCTGTCTTTGCTTTGCGTCTTGGTCCAGAGTTGTCCTGAAGTTGTCGGCTATATGTTGCATTATCTTGGCGATTGGGTCCTCTGCTTTCATCTTCACTTTCTATCCCCACCCACCTCACCTCATTTGCCCCCTCCTCTGGGCTCCTGATGCTTTCTGCAGCCTTTCTACTGCTCCTCTTTGGCTCCTTCTTACTGCTGTCTTTCAGCCTCACCCCTGATCTTATTGTAGAAAAGATCTACACCTAACCTTCTCGGACAAGGGCGAAAAATCTCGGATGTTCCGTGTGCAAGTTGCGCATGTTAAAGATCTCTTGGTGGTCCAGAATCGAAAAGAGTAGGCTTCGTATGTCACACAGGCAAAATTCTAAATTTCCTACCAACTGAAAATAATGTTTAATGTGTCCTGCGTGCTCATATAACCTTATGCAGTTGCGAGCTACCAAAAAAACAAAACAACCTCCGCCCCCCCCCCCCCCCCCCAAAAAAATAGTGGTCATCCAAAAGAAAACAGAATCCCTGATTATTTCTTTTTTTTGTTGTCTTTTTAAGAAAATACCAATTTGGCGAAATGATCTTATTTTAAAACCAAAAAGAATTTTGAGAGCAATGTTATTTAATTAGGCTTTGAAACTCCTCAAGTAATGCAGATCATCAAGTCTTATGGGCTTCAAGATAGCGAAACAGAAAAAAAGACATGAGAAAGCATGTGTGTAGATTGCAGACAAGAGAGAGGCATCACCACTGTACTGTTTACCTATGTTGATCACACACTTTAATAGGCCAACACACTGTGTATAATGGCACAAGGAGGATAGCGAACGTACATCTGTTGTGTAACCAGTGGGAGGTCATGCATGGCCAGTTGACTCTGCGAAGCAAGTTCACATGCACTTGAGCATGTGCATGGGACATGATGTGTTTCTTGGCTATAATGGCAGTAGGCATTCTCACTTGTTTAATGGAGACCATACTACAATGCAGTGTGCTGATCTACTCTTGTGTCTGTTCTGTGTGACTGTGGCAGATAAGCAATCTGACAATGTCGAAGAGAAAGCACAATGGTTACATCCTACAGCTCAAATTGCAGTTGCTGAAAAAGGTAGATGGGGGAGAATTTTCCTAAAGTGAAATTTGTTAAAAGCATGGCATTCCCTACTCTATGCTGTTGATGGAAGAGGACAAATTGAAACGTTAAAGAGCCTTGGTCTTCCCCAGCCCTTCTTGAAGGGGATGAAGAAATAAAGATGTTGAGGTGGCATTGTTCAAGTGGTTTACTCAAGCTGGCTGCATGGACATTTCAACCTTGGGACTAATTTTGATAGAGAAAGCTGTTCTGGTTTCGATCTGGGCTGGCTCAAGTGGATGAACACTCATGCTGGGCTGTTGTATAGGCAAAATTGAGTACTGGTACATTACTGGTACTGGACCTTGAATACCGCCAGTACAAGTACTGTTTGTGGTTTTGTAATAGATGATGTCAGCATTTCTCATTTCTCACCTCCTGCTTCTCTTTTTCATCAGAGCTGCTCTGATATATGTTTGCTCATTTCACTCAAACTCAAAAGTAAAAGTACAATACATTCCTGATTAGTCTTGAAATAGACTATAAACCTATAATAAATGAAAAATCAACAAAGCACAGTAAACTGCATGAAATTAGCAACAGTTTTTTACCTTGACAACTTAAATGGAAAGTAATACTACTGCAACTTTACTTGTTAAGTAGATCATATAAGAAACAAAGCATACACATGTACCAAATGAACTATCTAGTGCACAGTGTAAATACAGTAAATTGGAGCAAGGCAGGTGAAACAGGAACATGGTCACAATACATATTCACCACTACATGTACATGCAATGAGCAGTTATGGCTTTCATTTACAAATGTATTGCATCATTTTGTATATGTGGTCTGACCTCTCAAGTTCCAAGGGCACATCATCTGCTGTATTAAACGAAAATGCTCATTGGTGGTAAAAAGCACATGGTGCCGGTACCCATATCTCTAAACCAACCCCCCCCCCCCCGCCCCCGCGAGGAAATGAAAGAAAATCAAGCAGTCTCACAGATTTCTGCTTAAGCAGTCTCCACTGTATTTCACATATATTCTTTGAACAGAGTTGTGCGTTAGTTTTAAAACAAGCCTGAAATTAGATTAATGAAAAGTCAATATTATTAGTTCTGACTTAAGTTGTGAAAACTTTTATTGAAATTTTCAGGTGCATCATATATAACATATTATGTAGATGTGCACAAGTTTCTTGGATGTGTATTCCAATATATTATTATTTGTATCAGCATTCAAAGTTGTAACTTTAATCGGGTACAAAGGAAAGGAACAAATCTGTGAAAACGGTGTAGAGAGGTAATGCTCAGCTTGGGATTTGATTTAACATTCGTTTTATTTCATTTTAAGTACATTTACATTGTGATATTTCATTTTTTAAAAATTAAAGTGTTTTCACTCCAGTGATATTGTGAGTGTTTTTTGTTCTGATAGTTGTGCTGTATTTAGGAGGATGATAGAAATTATGGTATGAGTATTACCTAAGGACAACGTCGTACTTGCTTTTGTGTAACATGGTCACTGTATGTTATTGCAGAAATCGGTTTAGGGTTGCCTCTCTTTATGCCAGAACTGTGTGGCCACCAGTCCTGGTAATAACCTGTGACTTTTGAACGTGTTGTTTGATCAATTATGATTGGATTTTTCCAGATCCTTTTTCCTGTCCAGATTTGAAATGATATGTCAAAATGTTTCAGCTCGTCACTCCTGAAAAAAAAGATAATTTTTAATCTATAATCTTCAAAATTGTTATCAATTATGGCCTTGAGTTGTACTGATGTGATTGTTGTAAAAAAAATGTGACTTACTCCTTGTCCTTGCATTTATTTGTTCATTTGAAATTGTTCTTCCCGTTTATGTCATGATGTTTTGCTCAGAGTGTATTCTATGGTAAAGTTAATCTACATTTTACACTCAGCCACGATACATACACTTATGCATAGAGAGATTAATGCATCAAGCAGAAAAAACCCATAATAGTACCATTGAATGTCCAAAAGTTCCTTTTATTTTGGTAGCACATTTTGGTTACTGACATATATTTGTGCTAAACTGACCTACCCCTATTTCCATGAAATCCGGCCGTTTGTGCTGTTTGACTTTTTTCCTTGGTGTGCTTGTCGGCTGAGTTAAGGTTAAATTTTGCATGAAATAAAATATTTAAGAGTCCCAATGTCAATGATTTGTTTTGTATTAGGCCAAAAAGGATTTCTGGAAAACAAAGAGTATTTTTTAAGACCGAAGGACTTGTGAGAGGTTATTGTATAATTATCGATGTAATTTTATTGTCTGAATACTTTGAGTATTGATACTGTTTTATGATCTTAAAATGTGCTCTGAAGTAAAAAAAAAAAAAGAAAAAAAGTGTAGCTTTCATATTTTTAGGGGGTGATGTAGGCAGTATTGTTTGCTAACATTGTTAAATTATTTTCAGGTGGTGTAAGTACTAATATCCTGAAACAGTGTCAGGCTTCATAGTGTAGCTGTCGCTCTTAACTCAGTTACGAGGCTAGTCC